AGTGGTAGAGTGCTAGCCTTGAGCTGAAGAGCTGAGGGACAGCGCCCAGGCCCAGAGTTCAGGCCCCACGACCGGACCCAAAAAAAAAAAAGAAGTACATATGTAATTCTAAAGTGTAAATACCTGAGCAATTTCAACTTTGAAGTACACATATTCTGTAGGAAAATCTTTAAAAAGTGCTTAAAGAGCCTGATGCCAGTGGCTTGTGCTTGCAATCCTAGCTACTCAGGAGGCTGAGATTTTTTTTTTTCAGTCAGTCATGGGGCTTGAACTCTGGGCCGGGGCGCTGTCCCTCAGCTCTTCAGCTCAAGGCTAGCGCTCTACCACTTGAGCTACAGTGCCACTTCTGGTTTTCTGGTGGTTTTCAGGAGATAGGAGTCTCACGGTCTTGCCTACCCGGGCTGGCTTTGAACATGATCCTCAGATCTCAGCCTTTTGAGTAGCTAGGATTACAGGCGTGAGCCACCAGCGCCCGGGAGGCTGAGATTTGAAGATCACATTGAAGCCAACCTGGGCAACAAAGTCCTAACAATCATCTCCAATTAAGTACCAAAAAGCCAGAAGTGGAGCTCTGCTCAAGTGACAGAGCACTAACTGAGCAAACAAGCTAAGGGACAACACCCAAGCCCTGAGTTCACGCCCTAGGGCTGGCCCAAGCTTGCCCTTGCCTGCATGCCTGCACGCACGCACGCGCGCGCACACACACACACACACATGCATATACACACACACACTGCTTGAAGACATAATACATCTATAACAGGGTGTTCATTATAGTATTTGTTAAAATAAAAAAACAGAAGCAATTTATGTGTCCTTGAAAAAGAAAAAAGGTGTGGCTCAGTTAGTAGAATGCTAGTCAATGAGCAAAAGCAGCTGCAGGTCCCGAGTTCAAGTTCTGGTCTTGGACCAAGAAAAAAAAAAAAGAAATTAGAATACAAACTGAAATTAGGATACAAACTGTACAAGATGCAACAAAATACTTGTGTGGAGACAAATCACAGAAAAGTACATATCCTGTGATCTCCATTTAGTTAAGAGATAAAACTCAAGAAATTAAGAGATATTTACATGTACAGAGTACAAAATGTAGCCCCAGTCCTCTCTATAAGCCACTTGAGTGTTTTCAGGGAGGGGGCTTTCCCGTATTATGGGAAATGTGGCTTTGTGGTAGAGTGCTTGCCTAGCATTCATGAAGCCCTGGGTTCAGTTCCTCAGTACCACATACACAGAACAAGCCAGAAGTGGCGTTGTGGCTCAAGTGGTAGAGTGCTAGCCTTGAGCAAAAGAAGCTCAGGGACAGTGCCCAGGCCCTGAGTTCAAGCCTCAGGACTAGCAAAAATAAATAAGAAAAAGAAAAGAAAATACGAGGGAATTCAAAGTTGGGCGTCTAAAGGGTAGACTTTTGCCACAGGAGTCTAGGAGCAAAGAACAACGGGAGCAACTATAGACAGGACGGGGGGGGGGGGTGGTAGGGGAGGGGAGGACTCGGCCTCGGGTTAAAAGCATAGAGAGCAAGAACAGAAAGCCAGGCAGAGGCCTTGGCTGGCCCCTGGCGGCGGATGAGGTAACAGCAAGGGCTGGATGGGGAAGGGGGCCACGTTCACCTATAAACTTTATTCTGTATACAGCAGCAAGAAATTCAAACTTAAAAAAAAAAAAAAAGGCTCCCTTTGCCTTTCTTCGAGAAAGATCCCCGTGAGCTTCTTCCGAAGGAGCATGGGAACGGCGGGGGATAAACACACAGCAGGTGCGGCGGGCCGAGCCAGCCGGGTGGCGTTCATCAGGCATCTAATCCTTACAATGCGACACTGCTGCTAACACCCGAGGGTGTTGCTGTGTGTTTTTTTTATTATTATTATTAGTGGCTAATTGGAGATAAGCGTCTCACGGACTTTCCTGCCCAGGCTGGCTTCGAACCGCGATCCTCAGATCTCAGCCTCCGGAGTAGCTATGGTGACAGGCGGGGGCCACCGGCGCCCGGCTCCTCCTCCTATGGGCACAGTAGTTGGTTGACACGGGCGGGCTACCTACGAACCCCGTATCCGCCCGCGGGGTGAGTGAATGAATGAGCGGAGGTGGACGCGCGCCGGCCGTGCGGTTCCCTCGGCCGCCGCCCGCGCTCCGCCACGCCACGTGCAGGCCCCGCACTGGAGCGGCGCGCGGGGAACCCGGCCCGCGGCTCCTCACCGCCCCGCCGGCTCAGCCCCAGGCCCGGCCCCCCGCTCACCTGGTCTCCAAGTACACGGTGGGCGGCTGCCAGGTGTCGGGGGGAACTGCCGCCATGACCGGGCCCGAGTTCAGCCAGCAACTGCCACTTCCGGAGCCGTTCGCTGGGGACCCGCCTCCGCCGCGCACACTTCCGGCCCCCGCCGTCCGACTTTCAATCCTGGCGACTTCAGGATTTGGGGGGGGAGGGAGGGGGAGGGAGGGAGAGGGAGGGAGGGCACCAGGACAGGAAGTGGAAGGACCTTTCTGCTAAGGCCGGGAAGAGAGGCACGAGACGAAAACTGTCAGCGCTCTCGGGCCGTGAAAAGCGCAAGATCGAGGAGAGGTGTTTTGGCGCCATGTCCCGGACGATAGGATTGGTTTGTTTAGTCAGGGAGGCGGGAACAGCCACCAGATCTTCATTCTGATTGGAGGGAGGGCCTCAATTCAAATTTAAAAAAATCAGTCCCACAATTTGTGTAGGAATGGAAGCGTTAGAAACCCAAGAAAGGCCTTTTCTTTATCAGAGTTTCTTTGGAAAAACCTCTTCTCAACTCTGCACCCTCCATCTCCTGCATACAACTCTTTTTTTTTTTTTTTGGTTGGTCATTGGGCTTGAACTCTATCTAGGCCTGGGCACTGTCCCTGAGCTCTCAGCTCAAGGATAGAACTCTACCACTTGAGCCACAGCGCCACTTCCAGCTTTTGCTGTGTATGTGGTGTTGAGGAATTGAACCCAGGGCCTCATGCATGCAAGGCAAGCACTCTACTGCTGAGCCACTTTCCCAGCCCCCTACTGCATTCAACTCTTAAAGTATGGGCTGTCTGGGGCAGTAATGATGCGTGTGTGCGTGCTTGGTGCTGATCCTGGGACTTGAATTCAGGGCCTAGGCACTGTCCCCACCCCCACCCCCACTTCGCTTTTTCATTCAAGACTGGCACTCTACTACCTTGGTAGTACTACATCCACTTTCATCTTTTTTTCTGGTGATTGGAGATGAGTCTCAAGGACTTTTCTGCCTGATTTGGGTTTGGAACCTTGATCCTCAAATCTCAGCCTCCCTTGTGGCTACAGTTACAGGCTTTGGCCACCAGCTATACTAATTATATTAATGATGGATGGCTTGCAGACCTGGGGTAGCTTCAGGCTGAGGACTGGTAACTAAAACAACCCAAGTGTGGAAGTGGATTGGGTTTTCCAACAGTGAAACTGATCCACAGTGGTCAATGATTTAGTCAATCATGTCTAGATAATTAATCCTCCACAACTTCCCCCACCCCTAAAAAGAGTATGGGGAGGTAGTGGTAGAGTGCTTGTCTAACTGACCTAGCCCTGTTCTTCATCTGGATCTTCTGTAATAAAACAGTTCAATTGAAGTATGATGGACATTTAGAAAAGTGGACAGGTCCTAAGTGTACTGGTTCAATGAACTCCGGCACAGTAAACCCAGCTGTATAGCAGGCATCAAATCAAAACAAAATGTTGAGCCAGGTGTAGGTGGCTCATACTGTAATCTCAGTACAAAGCCAGTCAAGGTAAACTGGAGAGACTTAAAAAAAAAAAATCTTTAACCACCAAAAAGCCAGCGGTGGCGGTTAGAGATGTGGTCCAAGTGGTAAAGCATCAACTCTGAGTGAAAATAAAAGCTAAGCAAGAGCTTAAGGTCCTGAAGTCAAGCCCTAGGATTGGTACAAAGATAAGTAAATTTCCAAGCCCTTAAAGCCTTGCACCAGCCTTCCCAAACTTTCTACCTTCTAATATCATAGGTTGATTTCCCCAGTTGAATTTTATATAAAGTCATAAGGTATTTTGCATCTTCTTATACTTAACATTATGCTTATTAAATATACCCATAGTTGCTGTATCTAATGGGTATTTTTAATCTTTCTGTGCAGTATAGTGTTCTATTGCTTGAAAACACTGCAATGTGTTCATATATTCTATTAATGGACTTTTGGGATGTTTTTAAATTGTGCCTCTAGCAAGTGTACTTCATGTATGCTTTTGTTTTTGTTTTAGTCAAATTCTCACTATGAAACTCAAGCTGTCCTGGAACTTGTGGTCCCTCTGCCTTAGCATCCTGAGTGCTAAGATTATAGATATGCATCACTGTAACAGGTACTGAGCAGGATAAAAGCTTGGCATTCCTGCCTCCATTTTGCAAGTACTCCAGCACTCTGAGTCTCTTCCCCTGAAATCCCTTTGGGTTACAGATAGGACAGGATTGGTCAATAACATCTGCATGAGAAATGAAATCATCCCCAAAGAAGAGATCAGTAGAGCCTTGTAAATAAGCACATTACATATGTAGATATCTATCTATCTATCTATGTTGGTGAGACTGCACCCTGGAACAAGAGAAATCAGCTCCTGCCAAGACTCAAGACAAGGATGATAAAGTGTTAACCTCCCTCAGAGCTCAGAACCAGAACTAGGCCACGTTCTGCCGGAGACTGTTTAATTATGTATACCCCTCCCCACCTCAGTTTTCCTCTATTTAAACCTAAAGTTCATGCCTCCGTCCTGAAGACAGGTTGAAAGGCTTACTTTGCTGCTTCCAGCGGTGTGTGCTCAGGCTACATAATCTACATCAGCGTTGGTAGAAGAGGTAGGACTTTGGAAGAACAACGGAGAATTTCGCAGAATTAAAAAAGAAAAAGGGGGCCTGGGAAGGCGGCTCAGTGGTAGAGCGCTTGCCTTGCATGCATGAGGCCCTGGGTTCGATTCCTCAGCATCACATAAACAGAAAAAGCCGGAAGTGGCGCTGTGGCTCAAGTGGTAGAGTGCCAGCCTTGAGCTGAAGAGCTGAGGGACAGCGCCCAGGCCCGAGTCCAGACCTCACGACCGACAACCAAAAGTAAAGAAAAAGAAAAAGGCCTCCCCTGTTCGGACGCCAGGGGGAGCCAGAAACTCAATCTCTTCAGATATCGCGAGAGTTCCTTCCCCCTTTTCCCGCTCCACCCCCCCCTTTCCCCGCCTCCGCACACAACGCGACCTCGCGCGCGTTCTGTTTTGGGCGGAAGCGCAAGACGGGAAGGCGGAGCTACCCGAGGCGCCAGGCCTGAGCTGCGGCCAGGAAGCTACTTCCGGGGTTGCTCTTCCGGAAGCCGGAAGTTGTCAGCCCAGCCCTCTTAAGTGGGCGGCTGGGGTCGCCGAGGCGGGAGGAGCCCGGGGGGGCGCGGGCCTGCATGTGAGTGAGTGGGGCCCGAGCCGGGAGGTGGGGGGGAGGCGGCCGGACGGCCGCGCCGCCATGCGGGCCCCGGGACGCCATCGCCGCCCCGCCGTCGCCGCCCCTTGACCGCAGCCGAGCTTTTCGGGAGCTGGGGCTGACCCTCCCCTCTGCCCCCCTCCTCCGCGCCCTCTCTCTCTCCCGGGCTCGGGCCGAGGAGGGGAGGACGAGGTCGCCTGCTCGAGCAGGGCCCCCCAGACCCTTTCGGTAGACCCGGGAGATAGAGTCCACTCCCCGCCCCAGCAGAAACAGCTTTTTTTTTTTTCTTTTCTAGTTAATTACTAAAGCAGAAACTATTTATTTACAAAGTGATGGACTTGTGCTTGACGGGAAGCCTGGCTCAAGCGTTAAGAGCACCTGCCTTACAGCGCCAGGCCCCGAGTTCGAAGCTCAGCTCAGCATCGCTAAAGCAAAGCGTGATCAGCCTGAATTCGATTTCAGAAAGGAACGTCTCAGTACCAGGAATTTCCTCCCGCCTGGTTGTTCTGTAGTACTTCTAAGATTTAGCCCTGCAGACTTTTCTTCTGGTCTGAATCTGCATAGATTTGTTCGTAGTGTGCATGTGTGTCAGTCTTGGGGCTTGAACTCAGGATCCCGAGCTGTCACTCAACTTTTCACTCAGAGCTGGTACCTACTGACTTGACCAGCAGTTTGCTGGCTAATTGGAGGTGAAATACCATGGACATTTCTGCCTAGGCTGACTTTGAAACGTCAGTCCTTCCTATCCGAGTAGCTAGGATTACAGGCATGAGTCACCATCCCTTGGCCAAAGAGTAGTATCTTTTTAAAGTAGTCACCAATCACCTTAGAGACTCCTATTTACTTACTATTCTAACCTTTCTGATTGCTCATTTGGTAATTTCCATGTTGAACTCTCCCTTAATAAATTTCTCCCTTAATAAGGCAGTTCTCCTGTGATAGATTTGTGTACTTGAATTTGAGTTATCACAATTTCCTCTAGAAAACACATGAATTCCTTGAAGCTTCCTTCTAAAAGAACAAATAACTAAATTCATCTTTGCCAGTCTGCAATTTTGACTAAAATGCATAACTTGCCCTATCAGATTTTTTCTGCCTTGTACTGAGTTTTCAAGATATAGTTTGAGTGTTCTTCCACACCTACTGTACCAAAACAAAAACAAACAACAACAACAAAAACTTGGTTTCTACCCTGCTCACCTAAACTGTCATCAGGCTGATGTATCCTGGGCAGAGTAAGGAGCCTTGGGCAATGCTGAATGTGGACCAATTGCTAGGTAGCAAAATGACAAAAAAAAATTAAGTCTTTTCCCATAAAATTGTTCATTGAACAGGTTACATATGTGAGGTGAATTTCTATGCCCACTGTTAGTTGGTTGGTTTGTTTTTTTGTCCGTCATGGGGCTTGAACTCTGGGTGTGGGCGTTGTCCCTGAGCTCTTCAGCTCAAGAGCGCTCTACCGCTTGAGCCATACTGCCACTTGCGGTTTTCTAGAAGTTTATTGGAGATAAGAGTCTCACAGACTTTTCTACCCTAGCTAGCTTTGAATTGTGACCCTCAGATCTCAGTCTCCTGAGTAGCTAGGATTACAGGCGTGAGCCACAAGCGCCTGGCATCATTGTTAAGTTTTTTGTGTTATTTTCTTAATATATGTTTGCTTTCAAGGAATGCATCATTTTACTGGGCTTGGTGGGACACCCTAGTAATCCTAGCACTCACCTAGGCTACATGAAAAGATCCCATCTTAAAAAACAACAAAGAAGGGAGGGAGGGAGAGATAAAAGGGTGAAAGAGGAGAAGGAAGTGGGGGAAGGAAGAGAAAGAATGAAAATAATACAAAGTGGTAGAGTTGTATAAGGTCCAAGGGCAAAATCCAAACTTTTACCAAAGCTCACTTTTTGGACAAAGCATGGGAGGTTTGGCGTTGTAGGCAGAATGATGAACAAACATGTAGAAGATGAGGCAGGACTGAAAGAGGATGAGACTGAATAGGTGGGCAGTGACCATACATAGGTGTGTAAAGGAACCTATATGTGTGTATCTTTGTGTACATCGGAAGTGGCTGTGGCTCAAGTGACAGAGGGCTAGCCTTGAGCAAAAGAAGCTGAAGGACAGGGCCCAGATCCTGAGTCCAAGCCCCAGGACTGGCAGAAAAAAACAACAATATTGTGTGTGGGTGTTATGTACTTTGGATATATGCCCAAGAGTTGTGAAGAAGGATTACAAGGTAGATCTATTTTTAGTTTTTTGAGGAAACGCCATACTGATTTCCACAGTAGTCAGACTAGTTTACATTCCCACCAGCAGTGTATGAGGATTCCTTTTTCAGCATTTTTTAAGCTTTTATTTTCCATAATTTGTTGTTCGTTTTCTTTTTTTTTTTGGGGGGGGGGTCCGGTCATGGGATCTGAACTCTGGGCCTGGGCGCTGTCCCTCGGCTCTTCAACTCAAGGCTAGCACTCTACCACTTGAACCACAACTTCTGGCTTTTTTTTCTGCTTATGTGGTGCTGAGGAATTGAACCCAGGGCCTCATGCATGCAAGGCAGGCGCTCTACCACTGAGCCACCTTCCCAGCCCTTGTTCATTTTCTTGATAGCTAACATTCTTACTGGGTAAGGTGGAATCTTAGTGAAGTTTTGGTTTGCATTTCCTTTATGGCTAAGGATTTTGAACATTTTTTCATCTATCAGCTATTTGTCTGAGAACTGTCCAGTTTATTTGCCCATTTATTCACTGGGTTATTCCTTTACTGTTTAATATTTTAGCTCTTTGCATTTTCTGTATAATGGGAAATTTGACTATGGGCTGAGTATTAGGTAATAGAGTTAATTTTTTTGTTGTTGTTGGTCATGGGGCTTGAACTCTGGGCCTGGGCGCTGTCCCTCAGCTCTTCAGCTCAAGGCGAGCGCTCTACCACTTGAGCTACAGCGCCACTTCC